TTTTTTTTTTTTTGAGTAAGACCTGAGGGAGAGGATTTTTTTTGGGTGAGATATGAGAGATATTTTGGAGATAACCATACTGCACGGTCAAAGCAGAAATTGTGGGGAAGTTGGTGGAGACTTAAAAATAATATGGATTACATTCATCCAAAATTTGAATACCAAATTTAACTAAAAAAAAAAGGGAGAATGCTACCATCCCGTTATGGGATGGTTCCGTTGTGTTTTCTAGCCATAGATATACATGTAATCTAGTGATGGGTAGTTAATCCAACGCTCAAAAACACAATGGAACCATCCCATAACGGGATGGTAGCATTTTCCAAAAAAAAGTTGCCATATGTAGAAAGTATTTAATGAAGAAAGAGATTTGACTAAAAATTTAGTTGCTATATTTAAAAAATGGTAAATCTGTTTATATATATAGATAATAAAATTATTTTTAATATTAATTAGAAAAATAAAATTATTTATCAACTAATATATTTATATTTTTAAGCAGTTATATGATATAAGTTATAAAAACTAATATAATATAACACATGTAAGTCATAAGTAGCACATATCATTCTAAAATATATAGTATTATATTTTTTTTTTTGTAAAAAAGGAAACTAAATTTAATATAGTTTTCTCATTAATTTTAAAATTTAAGAATAATTTTTTAACAAGCACTCATGTAATACACGGGTGTTGTACTAATAATAAATTACATTGTTTCAGGAACTAAATCCAAACGTCTTTTCCACTTTTTTGGTCGTTTATATTCTTTAGTTGAAATAATATATGACTTATTTGATTGAAACAACTTATTTTCTTTAGGAAACAAATTTAAGTAAGACATCCAAAAAAAATTGGAGATTCTTAAAGTAACAAATTTGGAAATTGTTATGGAACTGAAAATGTACAAAGCCATTCACTCCAACAACATGCAATCAACCATATAAAACTTTAAATAAAACATCAACGTCATTTAGAAACACATAACCTAAACAAGAATAACCACGACACCGTTTAACACAAGAATAATGCTACTTGTACCCCTTGGTGTACCACAAGAATAATGCTACTTAACACCATATTTTTTTTTTTGTTAAAAAAACAGAGAGTAGAAACCATAAGATCAAATCATGCAGGACTTGGGAAGAACCAAGTAGGCCCTGGGAAAATCTTGCTCATGTTCTTGACATCAGATGGATAATAGCACGGCAATACAGTCTTGTTTCATAATTGAAAATGCCGATGTCATGGCCACCAATTGGTGGTGTGCACGGAGACATGACTACGTCTAGCGCATTAGCGAAGTAAATGGAATTGGGTTTGAGATCCGGAAACTCTGCCGCGGGTAACGCAAATGAATCGCTGTGGTAACCGACGAAAAGCACCAAGCCATCTAAAGAGCCATCTAAAGAGTTGACGTAATCAACCTCCTCATCCTCAGGGTCATATTTATAAACCTTGAAAGCAATAGTCACAAACGGAAGGCATCGATAGAAGACATCCTGATACGGGTCATTGAAGTCAACATACAATCCATCAAAATCAAAACATCCAACGTATTGAGTCACCACGAGGAGATCCTGCCCAGCCACTACCAAATGCTGCACTCTATCACACGTTAGCTGCAAGTCATTCGAATAGCTAATCCTACATAGTTCCTTGCGTACATCGGCTATCTTCACCGCCCTCAGTGAATGAGGGTCTCGAAGATCCCAAGATTCCAGCACGCCACTTCTCGTGAGGGTAAACAGTGCTTCATGTCTTGTGGAGTAGACACAATCCCAATAGCCATAGTCGATATTGCGGAATGGTTCTCCCGAATTTGGGTCGAGCCAGTGGTGATCGCCGATATGGGTCCACTCCATGCTGAAGCCAGGGCAGCAGAAAGCCAGCGCACGCATGCCGTTGTAGATAATGATGGCCCGACAATTTGGTGTGTCCGGAGAGCACGAGAGTATGAGCTTGTGTATCATGAGGGGGCCAGTCGGGAATTCGGGCAGGTCGAGAACCGGAGGGAGTTTTATGTGGCGACGGGAGATTGGATTATAGAGAAACAGATCGAAGCTTGGGCTCAACAAAGCGAGCCAGCCGCGTGAAGATCCCGCGAAACACATGTCCAGGTGCGTTAATTCTCTTTCATGGCAACTTTTTCCTGTATCGAGGGATACGATTTTATTGTCGGCGGGGTTGTAGAACTTGTAGCTAAAGCTGGCGGCGCCGGTGACGGTGACGTCAAAGGCTGGAGGCAGCAAAAGCCAAGGAGATGACGATGGATTTTGTCTCGTTGAAGACGAGAACATCGGCTCGGCCAACGTGCTCATCATGCGTATCGGATAAAAGGAGTTAAACCTATACCTGCGAAAAGAAGAAGATCCAGTCAGCCATACAATCGGATAATTAGATAATCCGGCAAACCATTTTCGACCAATCGAACGGGTGATTATTGAGAAAGAAGAAGCCATCCATAGATAAACTCCGGAAGTCGAATGAAAGAGGCACAAAAAGAAGCACAACCTAAGCTTATCGCTCTATTTTATCGCCTCTGTTTTATCTACTTCATAAATGGGCTGTAAACCCGTCTGTGACCCAATTTTGTTTTAGGAAGCATGTTTGGAAGACGGGCCACAAAGAATTCAATGACGCAGCCCAATAAAAATCTCAAAATTAATCCGACAGATTTGAATAAATGACATCCGCTGTCCATTTGTTAAGACAGTTTATATAATCAATCTCTCTTTTTATTTAGACAAAGTTACTCCTTTTTATTTTCAATTATACTTTCTTTGACGGTTTGTATTTTAATTTATTTTAATTTTTGTAGCCAACACATCTTTTAATATTATCCTGTTTTTTTCTCTTTCTCTTTCTTCTTTCTCTTGGTTGAGTTTTTCTTGTTCCTCTCTCTCTCTCTCTCTCTCTCTCTCTCTCTCTCTCTCTCTTTTCTTCTCACCTTTTCGCCTGGTCGTCATCCCGGTAAATTTTACTCTAATTTCGCCTAAATTGTTTTCTTCCTGATTTCGATTTACCATATTCTATTTGTGTCTTTTTGTGGCTTAATTTCTCAAATTTTAGGATTCATATAAGTAATTTTTTTTAATTGGCAAAATTTGTCGCAGGTCGATGATTTGAAAATTTTGGAGTGGTTGCCTCAATTCGTCGACGACGACTCCACGGCGGGTCTCTCCCTGTTATGCCCGGTCAAAATTTTACTGCCCAAAAGAGCCGAACACGTGAATCATCTGGTCCATAAGATTAGCGTCCCGTTTTTTCCCTCTTGAGAAAACCAAGAATCTAGCTCCAGATGAGGCGCGTGCGCAGCGACCGTATTGGGTGTGGGGGTTTGATTAATTGAGGTTCTGGAGGCGGACCGACTCAGATGAGTAGGAAAACCGCTGATCAAGCGCATAAGGCAGGCGCCAGCAGATGTTTAATCTTGGTGATTGACGACCTAAAATTGACAAGTTGAGACAGTTTAGGTGGTGTTCGATTAGATTGAAAATTATTTTTATGTTTATTTGACAATTTCGTAATATATATATATATATATATATATATATATATATATATATATATATATATGTAACTGAGAGTTGTTTTTATGTTTCTTTATAATTTTTAAGTTGTTGTTTTATTGTTACTTCATTGATTTTTTTGCCCGTGTTAATGAATCCAAATGAGATTACTGTTAATGATTTCTGCAAATCAAAAAAAAAACTCTGCTATTTATTTAATAACTAATTTGCGTATTGACTAATTTGGAACATAAATGAGTTGTTGTTTTGTTTTTATTAATTTTTAATAAAGAAAAATTTACAATTTACAATTATAGTTGGCACCCTTTAATGCTTTCTAATCTTATGTATATTAGATTCCAATTTTCATAATTTTTTGGATGGCTTTCATTGTTGCTGGGAGCATGTTTCTTCTTGATTCATTTTAAATTGTTTTTTTGATTTTTTTTCCTTAGGTATTTATGTTTGGAGGAGAAGAATAAGAACAAATATTTGGAAAAGAGAAAAAGAAGAAACAGGAAGAGATAAAATGATGTGGGGAAAAGATATTGGAAAGAGAGAAGAAAAATCAAGAGAATGAAAAAAAAAAGAGACGGGAGAGAGAAAGTATCTTTTATTCTGCCGATGCGTGATGCTTTCATTTCTTTTTTCTTCGATTTTGTATCTGAACAATTTTGGGAAAGTATCTTTTTCATATTATTGATGCTTTTTTTTGGGTTCAATGGTCTTTGCTTTTTTTCAATCGGTAGTTTTGTTTGTAATTTATTAACTGTCATACAGTTTCTTCTTTTTTTCAAATTCAAATTATATCTTTTCAATTTTCGTTCAAAACGTTTCAGTTTTGTTTTTTTATTTAATTATTTTATTTTACTTTTATTTTCCCCGTGAGTGGGATGTTCATGTCTACTTTTTGGAGTAATTTAGGAAGGGGAAAATTTTACACCTCCTGGACGATTTGGATTTATTTGCTGTTTTACGGCTAATACAATTTTAATTGCATATTTACCTAGAGTCCGTTACTAAAATAGGACGATAGAAAGTTAAAAAAGAAGGAAGCAGTTACGAAGGAAGGAAATTGTTTTGCGGCTTAATTGCATATGCTCCTGACTCCCTTATTTGGCGGATGAATTAGTTACATAGAAAATTAAAAAAATAAAAAATAAAAATCATTACGTAAATGAAAGGAATATATCCTCAGCTCCAAATTGAATCTTTTGGCCTTACTGAATTTGATTTTTTTTTTCATCTTCAACAAATTTGAAGAAAATCAGAGACGGTCATTAGATGCAAGAACATACTAGAAAAAATATACTACATAGTCAGGTATATTTATTGATTGAAAAAAAAAAATATTTCAGTGTTCACGTTTTTAATAGAGAGATAAAAACATGTATTATATAATTCACGCAACTGTCCAGGTGGGTATATGTTGCGTTTATGTTAGTATATATTCAGTATATGTTGCAATGAAAAATATGTCTTCCATATTATAATTCATGCAACTGTCCAAGTGGGTATACAAAACATATACTCCCTATACACACAAAATATACTCCCTATACACACAACATATATTTACTAAACAACATACACACAACATATACTGAACAATTTACTGAACATATACTCCATATACACACAACATATACTAAACAATTTACAAAAATATTTTCTAATATACAAAACATATACTCCCTATACACACAACATATACTGAACAATATTTACAAAAAAATTCTAATATATTGAACATATACTCCTTATTCAGAGAAGTGTCTGAATCATCTTAATCTTTCGGTAGCTTAGTCTTTCAGCTTGTCGAGATTGAATGGTAGAGAGCTGTAAAGCAGCTGAATCAGATGTCAATAAAGTGAAAAAAAATTGTGAAGACGGAACATAAAG